AGTATATATTTTAAAAATAGTCAAAATTTAGAAAAAAATTAATTGTTTAGTATGAATTATTCATTAAAGTGCGCATGAATTTAATTTAAAAAATTGGTTAACATGGATCCAGTAAAATCAGTTCGAAAGGGTTAAGAGTACATTCTAAAGAACGCGTAAAAGTCAACAAGAAACCAAATGACTTTTATTTTGATTCTTAACGTCAATAAACAGTCAAATTTTGTAACAAAAAATCATTATTTTAACTGTTATGATGTCAAAGTAAAGCCATTTTGACTTTCTTTTAATTTGTTTTTCTGGGAATGTATTATTTTTGATGTTGTAAAATTCTAATTATTAATTAAAATTTCATGAACAATAAGAATCTTATTTAACGGTATGTGAGATTTGATAATTATAAAATTGTATTAATAAGAATTATAAGTAAAAATTATGTTTAGAAATTTTATTTTATTAAATATCACGTTTAGTCTATAACAAATTATACTCGCTCCTTCCGCTCTTGAATCATTTTTTTTTATTAGTATTTATACATATGTATATACTTTTCTTGTGATTTAGATACGGTAACCCTACGCACATAGAACGTGTTCGCGATCGATCTCCCGTTTCGCACATATGTCGACATCGAGGGATGAAACGACGTGATACGCTTTATAAATGAATTTATGATTTCATATTTTTGTGTTTTATTGGTGCCCAATGATAAGTACTCCGGCACTTGTGGCAAAAGTGCGTCACTGTTGTTTTTATTTCCACATTCCGAGATCGGAAAACTGCCTGCCCACGATTTCCCTTCTTCTCTTTTTTATTTTTTTAAAGCGCTCGTCTATATATTGTTCTTATAATTACACGCAACGTACACAATATAGTGTTTTATAATCGATTCGGGTGGAGATGTTTATATTTTACTTTTGTATCTTGGATTTATACTTTTGTTTTTCTTTCTCTTTTTTTAATTATCGGTAATCGGCGCGATGAGTCTATAGTCTCCAAATAAAGTTAACGTTGAAAAAATATTTACTTTACAAATACATAGAGCAAGCATTTATTTATTTATTAATAACAAGGAGTTAACGCGAGAGGTATCCTTCAAAGGTTCAGGCTTCATTAGCTTTTATTATCCAGAGAATTTTTTTCCAGAAACTGTCGCTCGTACCTTTAAAATATTATGGGAAAGTGAAATTTTTCGATCGTCTCCTTGTTGCAAGTTTTATCAAACGCCAAAATGCCGATAATGCTAAGTAAATATTTAATTAAATTTCATAGTCGGAACTAGATGTTTTATATCAATGTAATAAAAAATATGTATATGTACTTTGAACTTTTACTTCTATATATACGAAAAACTGAAAACAATAATAATCACATCAATATAAACATATATTATTATACAATACATAAAAATATAATATATAAAAAATATTTTTTTAATAATATATTTTTTTATATGATTTATGATATAATAAATTTTTAATTTAGTGTAATATATATTTTGTACAGTGAATGTAAACAGTATTTGTACAGACGAAATTTTTAGAAGAAAAACCTTATTTGTAGAAACAAACATTAAATTTAGAGTGAGTGTGTTTTATCTTAATATGAACAAAAAAATTTCGCGAAAATAACTATTCATGGAGCTATTTTTCGACTATACGAATATTTTTGCGCGTTCAAATAGTACAATTTTTCATTTTTAGATAAAACAATTTTGAGAAATATATAATCTATTTTATTATTTGTTAGTAAATTACTAATTAATATTTGCTTTATAAAAATAAGGTTTTTAAAAAATTTTCCTGTACAAATACTTTTTGCACTTTTTCACTATAAATAATTAACAATTTACTAACAAAGAATAAAGTTATTCTATAGTAAATATATAAAGTATATAGTATATACTATAATATGTAAATTATATATAATTTATTCTTTGTTAATAAATAGCTAATTAATATTTGCTTTCTAAAAATAAGGTTTTTTTTAAAAGATCCTTCATAAATACTTTTTACACTCTCACTGTATACATGTAGGAAATATATACTGTAGAATATGTACATATACTATATGTATATACAAATAAAAATAAAAATGTACATATATACTATAGTAAAAAATATATACATAGTATATAATCAGATACTGTTCTTGTAACAATCATTTATAGCACTAATATACGAAACTGAACGTCACATTCGCAAGCCGATAAAATACCATCGTCCTTCTAACATGACAAATTAACGCTAACAACGTCGTGTGACGTCTCTCGACATTTCTCACGCGGAAAATGTTTTCCCTCCCGTTTTCCCTGAACGTGACTCACGGCTTATTTCCAAGTTATACGAAATTTACGAGAGTTCGTTATCGCAGCCCTTTCTCACCCCGCGATCATCCCTTTACCTTTCCTACGTCACTCTCCCTGTCACGGCGTGTCGTAAGGGAGGAAAAAGGAGGGCGGGAAACGATAGAATCCTCTCCCTACTTTAACGAGAACGATACTTTCGTTCGCTCGCGTGCGCACGCACGCGACGGGGAAAAAGGGGTAGTTTTTCACGGTAACAACTGTCTATTAAGGCGTTCTACCGTTGTACAAAGCGATCGTCGTGTAAAACGTCGGTGGCACTACTTTCGTGACCGCGATGACACGCTACGCCGTTTAATCTCGACGGCCGTGCGTGCTTTACCGCGGCCGAGGGTTTTATCGTAATCGTAATTATCATATAAAGCGACGTTGTTGTTCGAGTAAGTACAAATTTCAGACTCTTATCGCGAACGCGAACTTTACCCGTGCATATACGACCCCCC